CCTGTGACTATCACTGTCTTGGGTCTCTAGGTCTGTAGGTTCAGGGGGTCTGCCAGTCTCTACCTCCATTTCCCTTCTCTCTGTGACATTTGGAAACTCCCTCAGGATAGATAGTAAGCCAGGGATACCTTGTTTGTTTTCTGTCTCTCAGAGATCACTGTCCTTTGTTGCCTGGTGTCAAATATCTTGACAACTGTTCTTCATATTGTGCCCAGATTTTGTTTGTTTTTGTTTTTTCATACATCAGCTGGAGTAAATCTATTCTCTGTTTCCTCATTATAACCAGGAGGGGAAGGGCAGTCACTGCATTTTCATTTTTGAGATTTTTATCTTTTCTGTATTTCTCAACTTTTGTTTTGAAAATTTTCAAACAATTTAGAAATATTACTCAGGGATGAATGAACTGTACACATTTTTTATAGCTTTACTCTTTATTAAGATTTTTTTGTGCTCTTCCTCATATTAGCTGAACCATTTGAGAGTAAATCACATATATGATACTTCGTTATTAAATAGCTACACTTTATTTTTTGAGATTGAGACAGGGTTTCTTGCTTTGTAGAATAGTTGGCCTAATACTAACTATGAGGCTCTGGCTGGCCTCCACTTGTAGCAATCTTCCTGTTTTAGTGTCCAAAGTACTGGGATTATAAGTGCCACACCTGGCCATTATTAAATAATTCCTGAGAACTAACCCGTTTTCCTATGCAGCCATAATACAATGATCAAATTAAGAAATTTCAGTATTGATAGGTATTATCTAATCTATGGTATGTTTTGATTTTTGATGGGTATCAAATGATATCTAAACTTAGAGCCTTGAAAGAATTTATCATTTTTGAATATACTGCTTCTGTGGCTCAGGAACTCAAATATGGCATTGGGAATGCTATTCTATGTTCTGTGAGATCTAAAAATTCACCCTTGGGGAGTGGGAGATGACTGCACATCTTTTTCTCTTTCTACATAGTTTGCCTAGCCCCTCTGCTGAACAGCAGCTTCAGTGCGCAGCCAAACTTTGACATGGTTGTTTGGAATCCAAGCATGAATGATTCTAGAAATCTCCAAAATATAAATTGGTATCATACATGAAGTGGTACTCTGAGGACAAAATAGCACCTTTATCTTATTTCTGCACAAAATGCAAAACTGGAATTTAACTATGAGAAACACACAGTACCAAATTGAACATTCTTTGAAATAAGTGACCTGTACCATTCCAACACGCCTGTGTCTTGAGGGACAAAGATGCTTCAGGTCAGTGGAGGCTGTATTAGTCTTCGAAGGCTGTCCTAACAAAATGCTCCGGACTGGGGGGCTTAAACAGCCGAAATTTACTTTCTGAAAACTTGGTTGCAGAAGGTGTCCACAGGTTTGGTTTCCTTCAAGGCCTCCATTCCCTGCCCTGGGGATAGCAACCTTCTCTGGATGTCAGGACATGCTCGTCTGTCTGTGTCACTGTTCTAATCTCTTCCTAGGAAAACATCAGCCATATTGGAATAGGGCCCACCTTCATGATTGGATTGTAATTTACTTTTCTCAAGGCCATGTGCATAGTTCTATCTTAGGGACTGGTATTGATGGCTTCAACAGATGAACTGGGCAGGAGGACAATTAAGCCCCTAACAGAGATTAAAGAGACACCCTTATAAGTGGTGTTGGATTGAAAAGAAGTTGCTATGACGTATATTGTGGAGAAAAATGGAACTACATCTCTCTGTTAGATTAAAAATACCCTCAAATTCACTGAGAATGGGGTATAATTCCTCCCCCTTTAAATCTGGCCTAGCCTATGAGAGCTTGGGTAAATGGAGTGGAAGGGATATCATGGCAGCTCAGAACCTAGCCTGGAAGAAGCACTTCTGCTTCTTCCACTGCACTTCCTTGGTGCAAAGGAAGCCTGATTCAGAAACCCCTATCAGTTCAAGTATGCGAAGTTCAATCTGTCAAAAGGTTTGGGAGTTAATTCTGTGGGAATTCTGTTGTCCTTCATACGTGGCCTCTTGGGCTCTGTGATTTAAAAATTTGTGAACATGGGGTGTGGGGGCAAGGGGGTGTGGGAGTGGTGAAAGGTAGAGGCAGTGGAAGTGTGTGGCTTAGCAGCAGAACACTTGTCTAGCTTGGGCCAGGCCCTGAATTCTGTCCTTAGTACCACACAGTCATATAATGATTGATTGATGATCAGCCAATCAATCAAATTTTAAAATTGTTAACTTGTATCTGTTAGAACATCATGGGTCTAAATAGAGGCTGGTCGGTTGTTAGGGGTTTCGATTGCTTCTGCCCAGGGCACAGGGTTCTTGGGACCTCTCCAAGTGCTCTTCGGTGTCCTTAGCCTGAGGCAGGAGGCTCAGATGACAGGGTGCTCCTTTCATTTCCCTGGCACAGTGAAGGCACAGACTCGGAGTATCTGTATGGCCCCAGACCTGTTTAAAACTCAGTGCCTCGGCCCTGGTTCTTTCCACAGGTTTCTTCTTTAGAAGTGGGATAGAGGTGGTTCTTGAACATGGTGACCTGGGTAATAGCAAATTTTTAGATCCTAGAAACAAAATTTCCTTGATCACTTACATAAAGAAGCAAGTGACCCCCAGTCAGAGGATGCAGATGGAGAATCCTGTGATGTCACTTTAAGAACCTACATGAAAAATCATTATTCCAATGGCTTCTATATTGTTTATGCTAAAACTATAGATGGGCAACAGAGTATGATTGCATGTTTTGAACGCTACCAATTTCAGCCTAAAAACTTCTGGAATGGTTGTTGGAGGTCAGAGTGGAAGTTCACCATCATACCACCTACAGCCCAGGTGGTTGGAGTGCTCAAGATTCAGGTTATTATGAAGATGGCAATGTTCAGTTGGTTAGTCATAAAGATGTGCAAGATTCAATCTCTGTTTCTAATGAAGCCCAACTGCCAAAGAATTTATTAAAATCATAGTGCAGAAAATGAGTATCAGACAGCAATTAGTAAAAACTATCAAACAATGACAGAAACCACGTCCTTGGGCTGAAGCTTCCAGTTACACTAAAATCTACTGGAACAAGATTCTCAGCTACAAGGTTGGCAAGGAAATGCAGAATGCTTAAAGGCTGACTGTAGGAGTCTCCAGTATGTGGAAAGAAAAAAGACTCAACATGTCGTCATATGATAAATCAGTGATTTATAAACATAAACAAGGGTGATATTTTGCTAGTTAACAAAGTTAGCAGATTTTCTGGCCTCATAGAATACTCTTGAACCTATAGTATAGCATTATCCTGGTTCTTTTGTGTGTGTGTTCTTTGCTTTGTAATTTTCTGTTCTCACTCTATCTACTTGCAAATCTTTTTTTTTTTTTTTAAAATTCTGCTACACACAATGTTGAAGAGATCCATCCTAAAGTCATTTTACTATTAAGAAATTTTCCTAGCCATGAAATCCTATTACTGGTTTATACAGATAATCTGTTCAGTCTTTTTTGTTTTTTACCATTACCCTTTAAAGCACTTTTGGTACTTCAGTGGTTTTTACTAATCCACCAACTGCTAAAGAGGCTATGCTACACACTCAGTGGAAGACGCGGTCTTCCTTCTCCCTCCAACTGCTTTGATCATTTATAGCATCTCATAACTGTACTTTTCAAACATTTGGATTGGGGTTCTTCAGGTCCATTTGGGGAGTTAAAGGAAGGAAATTCCACAATAGCCAGCTTTTCTGGGGGAACTTGTTTTTACTCCAAAGATTTGAGCCCATTCCCTGCACATGAACGTTGCTTATTCTTTCATCTCCGTCTAGTCCTGTTGTACAGACATCTGCATTTTGGAAGAGTTTTGCCCTGTTTATGTTTCTACTTAATATTCAAGGACTGCTGGCATACTGTGGATATAGTAGAATCTAAAACTTGAATAATGCAGATGTTGAAGGAATAGTAGGTATTTGTGCTTTAATACTTTCTGGTAGGATTGTTCTATGAGCAGATGAATCAAACAACTTATGCAAACTCACAGAACTGAAGACGAACCGAAGGAAAAGGTAACTCCCAGGCAGCATCTTTCTATTGTAACCAGTTATTTAAGAGAATATTAGTTTTTCCTTCTAAGTAGGATGGACAACTCATTCCAAACTACTCCTACTCCATTAGTCCTGCCTGCCAAGTACTTGTATGTAACCATGATTTAGCAAGCCTTTCAGGTATAATGGCAGAGATGTGTGATCTCAGAAAGTGCAAGTGACGTAGATGTGATCTATGACAATGGTGTTGGTGGATTCATTTACATTGTTTACACTTCTGTGACCAGGCCTTAAGGGAAGTTCAGCTTAAAAAAAAACAAAAAAACAAAAACAAAAACAACACCCCCCAAAACAAGCAGTGTCTTCCTACCCATCCCCAAATACATGTCAAAACAGAAGGGTGTTTTGCTTCAGTTTTGTTTTTGTTCAGTAATCCAATCAAGCGTTTGCAAGTGAAAGCCCTGTAAGCATTTTTGTTTATTTCAAATAAAATCTATTTGTATTATTTGCCATTCATACCACACTATCTTCTGTATCAGGTAATCAGGTAGTGCAATAGAAATACGCCTGTTTTCTAAAAAAAATTATGAACTTACTTTAAACATTATGAAGGTTCTTTTTTTTTTTTTTTTGCATTTTTTTCCTAGTGTGAACTTTGTGGATGGCAGTATCACATAGCAATGTCACGTAAAATAAACCAATGTGACCGCGGGCTGCTGGATCCCAGAGTGTGGCCTAAGACAGTTCTTCCTTGACTGTTGCCCAAAGGTTGGACATCTTGAGGTCTAAAGTGTAAGTTTCTGACTCTGTAAAGTAGGAAGGTTCTAATCTTCCGAGGATTTGGTGATAGAATCTGGAGGCGCCCAGGACCTAGCTCGCCATCTGTACAAGGGTTTGTGATCCTCCCAAAGGCCCAGATGTGCATTCCTTTTCTTCTGCTCCAGTGGCCTGGCTGAGAGTGGCCTGGCTGTATTTGGGTCCGGTGTCGGCGGAGAACCCGGCAGACCGGCCCCTGGAAGGAGGAGCCGGCGGGGGGGCGGGGCGCGAGGGCGGTCCCGGGCTACTGGTCGCGTCTCGTCCTCCCCTTCCCCGCGGCGGTACTCCGGCCACCTCCCTGGTACCTCCCTGGTGAGTACACGGCCCAGCGCTCCGTGCAGGGATCGCGGGGCCGTGGGCCGGGTGGGTCTTCCGGCTGGGGCTGGGCCGGCGCTGGGCCTGCGCGGCCGGCTCTCGGTGCGGCTGTCCAGTCTCTGCCAGAGCGGCGGGAGCGCTGGGGTCTTCGGAGGCAACCGGGCTCCGGCTCAGGTGTGGCGTCCCAGCGCCGGGCGGTCTCTGCCCCGGGCTTGGAGATGCTGCCGGGTGCGGGGAGATGCTGGGCGCACGCGCAGGCCCAGCGCGGTGATGGGGCCCCCCCCCCCCCCCCCCAGCAGCTGCTCTCTCCGGCCTGGCTCCTCCATCTGGAGAGGCCCTTCCTCCAGGGCACGCACCTGCTTTCCCCAGCGTTTCACCTGGGGAAATTGACCCGCTGATCTGCACTTAGGGGCTTGCTAGGGTCGGCAAGTGCTGTCCTTCCTCCGCGGAGGATAGTCACCTGGATTTGAAGGACTTAAAACACACCTGCAATTGGCTTGGCGCCCAGTCCCTTCTGGGTCTGTTGATCTTTATCTATGGTTGTTCTGGTTTCCAGTAGATAAAGGTGGTTAACTCTTGGTTTGGGGGCTGGTGTTGAAGGTCTGGAGATCTGTACAGAGCAAAAGGCCTTTGAGAGACTGGTAACTCTAGGAGAGCATTAGCTTCGCAGGGGTTGGGGAGGGAGCTTGTGGTTGCTAAGTGTTCTGGGGTGGGCAAGGCATGTGGATGTGAAGGCGGCTAGTGAGCCAGCAGACCTCCCCACCCTTTTGGCAAAGATAGAAAGTGAGAGAGGGAAAAAAAGGTGATAATTTGAAGAGTTGAGAGGAGCCCCCCTTCTCATTTTAAAAACAACTAGCTGATTATCTTTTTAAAGTAAAAGAATCTACTGAGGCTGCAAGAAAGTTGAGGAATCTCTGATCTGATAAATAGGATTCAGGGATCAGGCGGAGAAACTGAGATTCAAAATAGGGCAGAGAGGGGCTGTTCCTAGCAGCCTGCCAGGGAGTGCTGGAATGTGTCTCTAGGGAAGGAGATAATGCTTGTTTGGTTTTGTTTTGTTATATTTTTTTAGAACAAATTTGGCCTTGGTGGACACCATAGACTCCACGAAATAGCAAGACTTTTGTGTACCTGTCCACCGCTTTGATTAGATGAAAAACACTTTCAAAGAGAATTACTGATGTACTAAAGTATTTGGCTGGTGACCTGGGGGAATGTAGGTAGGGAGGGCCATAACAGCAGCTCTGTTATTGCACTTAAAAATTTTATTTATTTATTTATTTATTTATTTATTTATTTATTATTTTGTGTGTATGAGTGTATTGCCTGCACGTATGTGAGTGCACCCGTGTCGTGGAGTGCTGCAGAGGCCAGAAAAGGGCATTGGCTCTCCTGGAACTGGAGTTATAGACAGTATAGCCTCCATGTGAGTGCTGGGAATTGAACCTGGGTCCTCTGCAAGAGCAGTTAGTGCTCTTAACTGGTGAGCCATCTCTCCAGCCCCTCTGTTATTACACCTTATAATGCCACTTGATATAATATTTAGTATCGTCTCTAAGCTGAACTGGCAATAGGGTGTGCTTCATCCAGAGATGTGTGCAAATGACTTGGGAAGCAACCATCCCTGGTCTCTTAGAAGACCTTTTATTTATAATGGGAGCATCCAAAGCAAGTTGGTTGTGGTCTGGAACTCTGTAAAATGCAGCCCAGACTGGCCTGGAACTTGGGGCCAATCCTCCTGCCTCAGTTTTCTGAGTGCTGGGATTATAACCATGAGGCACCACGCTTTGCACCTCTAGTCTTTTTTTTTTTTTAAAGCCATCTCTGAACAGTGGTTTCTCAAACTGCATGTGTCAGAATTATCTGAGTTCCTGTTTAGAATATAAATTTCTTGGCCTCACTTCAAACTATTGAAACAAAACCTTTGGGCGCTGAGCCCAGGAATAGATATTTCAAGCAGAGTGCTCTGGGTTAGGGTTATATGTCTGGTATTGAAATTCACTGATAGCCTGAGGGTGGATTCTGTTTCATTTTGTTTTCTTTTGGACCTAGGCTTATAGGGCATATTTAGAACAGGTCTCCTTAAAATTTATATGACTGAGTTGCTGCCAACTTTATGTAAATAAAAGTTACGATTCCCTGTTTATAATAATGTCTTTAAATTTTAGTGTATTTAAAAATGAAAACTATTTTTACCAGAAAGCCACAGCATTGGTTTCTGGTGAACTACTCCAACTACCCTCCCAACCCTCCCAAATTAGAACCTACTAGAAGAAATAAAACTCAAAATTTTCTCAGTGACTAGTTCTACTATTTTATATGCATAAAAGTCATGTGCACACATATTGCATAATTGGGATTGGGTTTTATATACATTTTTATGTTTTTTTTTCCTACTTAGCTATTGTCAGCTCTTCACATGTAGTTAAGGTCTTTTAAACACCCCTTTTCTGTGTACACATATTTAAGGAGGCCAGAGGACAACCATGTGTCTCATCAGGATTTAAAGCTTGTGCCATTAACTTTTTTAGGTGGGTTCTGGGCGGTCAACCTTAGGTCCTTGTATTGTATGGTAAGCACTTTACCAATTGAGCTATCCATTTCCTTTTACTGAAAGCCTATGTTCTAGCCCATGGATGTACTATAGTCAATTAAATCAGATTCCATTGTTAATTTTTGGATCCATTTCAAGTTTTGGTTTTAGCAGTGTCATTCTCTGGTTCATGGTCTGCTTCCCATTCATACATTAAATGATGCGTCAAAACCCGAATCAAAATGCATTTCAATATTTTATTTTCCCATGCCTTCTTCCTGCTGTTCCTCCACAGGAAAGCACACGTGCGTAAAGATTCTATCCTTTCAAGGTCCATTCTTCTCTCTCAGTGGTTCTCAAACTTTACTGTGTCAAGATTCATCTCTTGTTCAAGTTTCATTTTCTTGGCTCTCAGACATACCTATCTGGATCTGTTAGTTCTGGAGTAGAATGCAGAAATCCCCAGTTTCCCTACATTCCCCTATATAGTTGATAAAACTCTTTTGGAACCACAGATTGAGAAATACTTTTATAACAAATGACAGGTAGACTCAGAAAATCCAGATTATTTACCTATTAGCATTCCTGTACCTGATAAGAACTTGAACTTGTACTTTGAGATGTAAGAGGCCTGTTCTGTTTTTTTTTTTTTTTTCTGTTCTTTTTTCCTCCCTTTATCTCAGAGCTTCACAAATCTTAGGGCCACTTGCACACCTCTAATGACTACCAAAGGTGGACTCCTACAGACCCCACTGCAGGCTTCTGAGAGAAAGCTGAAAATGACATATAAGTACTTGGTGAGCTTGTAATAAAACCTCCACCAGAAATTCTTCAGTCATTTGCTGGTTCAGCTTACTTCATGTTTCCTGACTGTTTCATGACAAGTCTTGTTGCAGACCCATTTATCCACAAGTGTGGATCTATGCAGTTTTTGAGAAAAGGCAGGTACACTTTATTTAGGGGTGCTGGGTCACTCTCCTGTGGTTTTGAAGGTAAATGTTCCCCCTCCCACAAAGAGTCTTTTAGATAGACCCACTGAAGGGGTACTCACCCTGCATCCTTGTCCAAAATGGAAGAAGCCAGAGTGGTTTGCTAAAGTGTATATGTGAGGGTTATTCTTCACTGTCAACTTGACTGAATTTAGAATCCTCTTAAGAGGCACATCTCTGGGTGTTATCCATAAGGGTGTTTCCAGAGGTTTAACTGGGGAGAGAAGACCCACCTTGAAAGTGAATGGCACCATCCCATGGGCAGAGGGCCTAGAATAAATAAAAAGGGAAAAAGAAAGTGAGCTGAGCACCAGCATGCACCTCTTCCTGCTTCCTGACTGTAGAGGTGATGTGACAGGAGCTTCACTCTCCTCCTGCCACACCTTCTCTACTGTGATGGACTATACCCTGAAATGAGGAGTCAAAATAAATATTTTCTACATTAAAAAAAATGTATGTTAAAGGACTAGTCTCCATACTGGCACATTGGGGAGGTGGGAACACCTTTGATAGGTACAGTCTAGTGGAAAGTCTTCAGGTCATTGGAGACACAGCCTTGAAGGTGATAGTGAGTCCCCTGCCCTTCCCTTTTCTTTCACCTTTTGGCCCTGAGGTGAGCAGTTTTGTTCCCCACGTTGTCACCCACCATGATATGCTGCCTCACCATAGCCGGTAAGCAGTGAGGCCAATTGACCATGGACCTAAGCCCGTCAAAACTGTGAGCAAAGTAGATCATTCTTTTTTTTTTTTTTTTAAAGCTGATTATCACAAGTGTTTGCTCTGAAAGCTAATACAAGCTGGATTCAAGAGGAAGGGGTGGGCTGATCAGCAGCTTCTGTTTTTTGAATAGTCAGTGGCAGAGGAGAGAAGGCAGTAGGCATAACCAGGTGTTATTTATGGGAAATGGGACCATGCTTTTACAAAGGCCTGTACTAGTAAATTGAAGGGAGCTGGTGGGAACCTTTTTAAGAGATGATACTTTGTGCCTCCTTAATCCTTTTTCTTCTCTATTAACTTTTATTTTCCACTTTCTCTTTTTTTAATATAGCTTCTTTTTCATCAGTAGATTTGAATTATGATATGTTCTTATGCATGTAGTAAGTAATGAACCTGTTACGTGTTAGTTTGGTTTGAGGCTTTAGCAATACATAAAGTAATGAGTCTCTTTGCAAATTAACTATCTACCATGCATTGATTTGGGATATACTCAACTTCTGACTTTATACTTTTTAAACATTTTATAATATTTTTGGCCTAGAAAGATGGCTCAATGGTTAAGAGCATGACTGCTTTTGCAGAGGAGCCAGGTTTGAGTCCCAGCACCCACGTGATGGCTAACAACTGTCTGCAAATCCAGTTCCAGGGGATCTGACATCCCCTTCTGACCTCTGAATGCATTGCATGACACAGGTGCAATTGTATACATGCCAGCAATACACTCATACACATAAATAAATAAAATATTAAAGAAGCAT